AACTTCTTGTGGCTTTCCATGTGCCCAGAGCAGGCATTCAGAAACATGGAACCAGTAGTTTTGATATCTTTCCTGAGCTTTCAACCTATTTTTTAATGGACATTTCTGCCTGAATCTCAAACACCTTAATAGCCAAAAACAAAGTGATGATTCCCTCTAATCTCCTCTTGCTAACTTCTTAATTATGTTCTGGGGTTATCATTATTTTACCATGAGCCCAGGCTACATACCTTAAGGTCAACGTTGATTCTTCCTCTTCCTCTTATTTTCTTTTGGTCTCTGAGTGCTGATGAGTATCTTCCAAATCTTCCTTTCTTTTCCTACTACAGTTTCTTATGACTGTTGCCTCTTTCCATTTCTGGTCTCTTGCCTGGATTATTTCAGTAGCACATTCAGAGGTTTTAACTTTGGATTCCATGAATAGATCTCAGAGGATCTAAGAATACCCTCAAAATTGCATGCAAATTTTTTTTTAAATGTGCATTTTTCTGGAGAGGTCCATTAGATTATTCCATGGGGAAGAAGGTAAGAGAATGAGAGAAAATGACAATTTAAATGAGTCCGTTCCACTGATTTCTCTGCTTTCCATGCCTGCTCTGTGCTGTTTTTAGTTCACCAGCCCAGGGCACTCACCTCTAAGTAGTGAGGGGGTATGTAAGACATAAAGAAAGAACAAGTGAATGGATCAGTTCAGCTTGGCAGTCAGGACAGTCCAGCAGCCACAGATCAGAGGCTTCCCAGCATCAGAGCCAGGTCTTAATGCCCTGCAGAAGCTCAGGAGAAAGCTGGGGCATCAGTAGGGAGGTGTCCTCCTAAGGCCTCTGGACCCATTTTTTCCTGTGCTTCCAAAGGACTTGGAGGGAAATGAAAGCTTAACTGGCAAAAATCCAGAGCCAGCCAGTGAGGCAATGTCCCCAGAAAAAGGTTAAAAACATTCCTCCAACTACACTTGTACCCCGTGATCTTTGTTCTCTAGACCTTCCTCCACTCTACCGCCAGAGTTAGTTTTTAAACATATCTCATTGTGCACCCTCCCTGATTAAAAACCTCAGGTTTTTATAAAACAAATTAAAGACTCCTGGGCATGGTATCAAGGTCTTCTGTAGTTGGGAGCCTGTTAGCCTCGTCTCCAGCCCCCCCCCCCCCCCCCCCCCCGCCCCACTCCAAGGCTGTAGCCACAACAGGTTACTACTGGCTGTTTTGAAAGGACAGCTTCTATGTCCATACCTCTATGCCTTTGATCATGCTACTTTCCTTCATTAGGTGCCATTTCTTCTCCCGTGCCCAATCATGAACCTCCTACTGTCCTTGAAAGCCCACACTAAATTTTATCTCTTCCCCTGTTGTCCATCCCTAATTTTCTGCCATCACCCTGGCAGGATCTGTCTCTCTTGGCCAGGTTCCAAAAACATTTCATACATATCTCTGATAATGTCTTATTATATTATAGATAACCTATTTTTATTTCTGTCTTTCCTACTAAACCAGAAATGCCCTGCAGGTAGGGACTGCCTTTTTCATGTTTGTATCCCTAACACCTAGTTTCATGCCTAGTCCAAACAGGAGCTTAATACACTTTTGTTGAATGGAATTACTTACGAAGAGTTTTTATGACTCATTTAAAATTAGAGACCAATGCTTATTTAATAAGTCAGGATAGGCTATCATAATAGTAGTAATAACAAAGTCCCATTTCCACCGCTTATTCAAGCAACTGCTTCCTTTGTGGAAGTGGATTTTGAAAATCTTCACATGTCAATGTATATTTTTGATGTGCTTTCTTGAGATCCTGAAAGAATTTTAGTTCTAACACAGGCTAGAGCTTCTATGACCTTCCTGTTGGTGTCATATTGAATAGATTCTGTCACTTCAGAGATCTGTATGGTAGACAGTAAGTTCCATGGATATAAATTTTATCTCTTTCTCTTCAACTTCATGGTAATATTTTATGAATTGTTTATTTTATAAATCTGAATCGATTTAATTCAAACCACATTAAATCGAGCATTTCCCATGTACAAAAACAGAGTTACAGAGTTAAGACTCTAGTACAGACAGTCCCCAACTTGTGATGGTTTGACTTAATGCTTTTTGACTTTATGATGGTGCAAAAGCGATATGCATTCAGTAGAAACCGTACTTCAAGTTTTGAATTTTGGTCTTTTCCTGGACTAGAGCTGAGCAGCATGAATTCTCTTGTGATTCTGGGCAGCGGCAACCTGCAATCCCCAGACAGCCACGCCATCACATGGGTTGTTTTCAGCTTACAGTGGGTTTATCAGGAGGTGCCCTCATTGTAAGTTGAAGAAGATCTATATTTATAAATTATGTAGCTCTGCTAAGTTTGCAAAGTCCCAGTCATTGCAAATACGTGTTCTAGGTATTTAAATTAGTCCAGCTGTGAAAGTAAACACTATTCCATAAATTAAGAGCTTCAAATAATTTTTTTAAAATGGTCTTCTTTCCCTCATTTTCTTTGAGGTTTGTAGGAAAGGAGTCAACAATTTACTTAGCCATTTATTTAAGAGTACATATTCTGTGCTAGGCATTGTGGTGGATGTTTGCGATGCCAGATGGATAAGAGAGCACCTTGAATAGTTCATGGTCTAATAGAGAAGAAGGTATATAAACAAATAATTGCAACTTAAACCTTGGAGGAGAGGAACTCTTCTTCTTTGAGAACCAGTGCTGAGGTGGAGATTGGATGCGTCTGCAGATAAATTTGTGGATAGGGAAGCAATAAGCTGAAGGGAGTTCACACCTGTTCGTCTTTTTTAAAAAAATATGCGAAGCAGGAATCTAGATATTCTCTATGAATTAATGGCATGGGGTAGCACTTGAGACGAGCAGAGCAGGGAAGATCTGGAAAAGTAGTGCAGAGAGCGGAAGGTGGTCTAACAAGAACAAGTAAAAGGTGGCAGGTAGTATTGACAAGCAGTGAGTGTGGAACTAAAATTGGATAGCATGAAATTGTGAGGACATCCTATCAGCACAGTGGTGTAATTTTCTCTGGCTGTGCTCTGTGGCCCATGCATAGGTGCAGTAAAGCCATACTGTGTTCAGGGCCTGTGGGATGAGTGGAACAGAAGTGTAAGAAGGCCAAGGAGTTGAGAACCCTTGAAAGAAAGTATAGCTTAATATGGAAGGAAGTATGGTTAGGTAGTTGATAAACTTGGAGAAAGTTAAGAAATTGGAGGATGAGGGTAAGGCCTGGCACTTTGTAGGGCCTCAGTAAGTCTTCATGTTCTCCTTTGTGGCTCCCCCATCCTGTGCCGTTTTTCACCACCACCATGCCCACCCCCCTCTGCTATGGTTTACATGAATCGTTTCAAGTCATGATGGTAGCGGTTGGCTCAGAGGGTAAGATGAGGAGCAAGGTTCTAAAGTTTTCATCAAAAGTGTCCCAGGGGCTTGGATGCTGGCAGTGCTTCTGTGATTTTTGCCTCTAGGAGAAGCTCAGGGCTTATCCCCTTATCTCCCTACTACTTGTGTTTCCAAGGGTGGATCAAGGGCAAAGACATTTATTGGACCATGATTCTCAGGACAGGACTTTACTCTGTGAGGGAAGGGTTAAGACTGTAAGCCTTCAAGGGTTTCCACTAAGTTCCCCTTGTCTCTATAAATCTAACCGTAAGCACAGATCTCATTACTTTCAAAAATTTTAAAGGAGAGTCTTTTTTTTTTGACATATAGAAGCAGTGACCATACTGATAACCAAAAGGGTCTTCCTACTCAGAAGTTAAAATTCCCAGTAGAGTTGGTTGTACCTTGTGATAGCTTTTATGGGACTTATTAAATGTATTGTCATATTTTTTTTTAAAGAAATTATTTCTTAAGGCTTTCGTTCCAAGTGAGGACAAACACTATGTATATTCCATTTTCAGAAATTTTCTTTTTCACCTATAGTTTTGAGTGTGACACTGAAATCTAATAAATTGTTATTTCACAAAGTGCCTTTTTGGTGTAGTATAAGGAAAAAAACTTGTAAAAAAAAAAGAGTCCTGCACCCTAAGTGTGAAACTGCTGGAAAGGTGGGAATTCCTAGAGCGAGTAAACTGAAACCACAGGTCACTGCAATCTTAGAAGTGGAGTAAATGCTCGTGAAGAGTTGGCTAAAAAAAACCCTGGGGAGTCAAAATCACCAGTCTTGCTCTTTCCCTGTTGTTACTGATACCTTTCAAGGTATTTAGCAATGCTTGCTTAGGAAAGAATTGAATACTATTCTTTTGAAACTTCGTCTTCATCTTGGTGGCTCTGAGAAAAGTGTGTGCCTCCCTTGGCATTAGTCACATGAAGTAGGACATTCAACTTTACCCACTAAGTGTGTGACATCCATCTGGATCTTATGGATTGCCTATACCAGTCCAACTCAAAACATGTTTGCCCATTCTTCAAGGGCTTGTATCAACAGGTACACCTATAATTTCTATGACTAAGATACAGTTTCCATAGCCTACTGTGTTATAATAGATTTGTGTTGGGTTAAATTTGCCTAAAAGCAGATCTCTTTTATTCCTTGACTTTAAAGGAGAATGGAAAATAAGTAATAGTTCCTAATTAGGTATTTAGGTCAAAGAGATGTTTTCAGAGTTAAAAGTATTTGTTTTAAATGATAGTTCAAATATACTTTTCTAAAGACTTTTAATTGGCAGCTTTCCCCCTCAAATTTTGGCACTCGTGTAGGAATTGCTTCTGGATTCTCTGTTAAGAAAAAAAGAGTTTTAGGGGTGCCTGGCTGGCTCAGCCAGTAGAGTATGCGACTCTAGATCTCCAGGTTGTGAGTTCAGACCCAAGCTGGGCGTGGAGCCTACTTTAAAAAAAAAAAAAAAAAGAGAACTTTAGTTGTTCATTCTTGTTTTGCTCATGGCACTTGGATATTATATGTTAATGGCATGACTATCGTTTTCCTAACATTCATATGAAGAAGAAAGGAAACTCCTTTAGATGTCTCACTTGGATTTTAGGTGGTTAATATAAGACTGTTTTCTTTTGTTTTTTAGGTTGCAAACATGTTAAAGGCATCCTGTTATATGGGCCCCCAGGTTGTGGTAAGACTCTCTTGGCTCGACAGATTGGCAAGATGTTGAATGCAAGGGAGCCCAAAGTGGTCAATGGGCCAGAAATCCTTAACAAATATGTGGGAGAATCCGAGGCTAACATTCGTAAACTCTTTGCTGATGCTGAAGAAGAGCAAAGAAGGGTAATGTTAATATAACTTAGTACAAATTTGTTATCACTTAATATGATGAATGAAACCCAAAGCTGTGGTGGAAAACTTGTTTCTGTGACCTGTATTTTGAAAAGCATGCAGGTGAAATTTATTTAGTACCAAATTATATCACTGAACCAGGGATTATGGGAGATTTACATGATGGGAGCAAATGTCATTACCCAAATATACACAATACAAAGATAGATGATTGTGTAAGCCAAAGGTTTTGCAAAAACAGATCATGAATTTATTTTCAGGTGTCACTTTTATTCCACATTATTTTCAGAGACTTGAACTCATTTATCCTTTGGAAAAGGGGGAAATTAAATTCACATGACTTGTAGAATATGTATATGTAAGGTCCATGTGCAGAAAGCAGCTTGTTTACTTACCATTGAGTCACCTCAGTTGTAGAGTGACAGGTAAGAGTTGTTAGGCCTCAAAGGAAAGCTTGATGTGGGTCTTAGGAAAAAAATTAATTAAAAGTCAAATCAGAGTTTACTAATTGTTATGGCTAATTTCATGTCAGTTTGATTGGGCCTCAGGGTGCCCACACATTTGGTTAAACATTATTCTGGGTGTGTTTGTGAGGATATTTCTGTATGAGATTATCATTTGAATTGGTAGACAGACTAAAGCAATTGCCTCCTCTAATATGGGTGGGCCCCATTCAGTCAGTTGGAAGGCTTGACTAGAACAAAAAAGGCTGCTCCTCTGTTGAGTAAGAGGGAATTTCCTACTGCCTGACTGCTTTTATCTGGGCCATCAGTTTTTACCTGCCTTTTGACCCAGACTGAAACATCAGGCCTTTGGACTAGAACTATACCATTGGCCCTCCTATGACTCCATCTTGTCAACTGAAGATTTTGGGACTTGTCAACCCCCATAATTGAGTTATCCAATTCCTTATAATTAATCTTTCTGTAGATAGATAGATATAGATGTATATTTAGATCTATATAGATCTCTCTATATATAGCATGTTTATTTCATAGACAGATGTTTAAAACATTGCCATAGGGGCATCTGGCTGGCTCAGTCCGTAGAGCATGTAACTCTTGATCTCAGAGTTGTAAGTTTGAGACCCATGTTGGGTGTAGAGATTATTTAAAAATAAAATCTTAAAACATTTTTTTAAATTAAAAACAATGCCATAGGATTTCTGCTTCTGGCAATACAGTAGACTAGGTAACTGAAAACTTTTCTTCTATAAACACCCTCAAATACTGGATAAAATATAACTAAAATTATTTTAAATGTATAATTTATCTCTCAAGAAAGAAAAGGAGATTTCTAGATATTAAAACTCTGAAAATTAGAGTGGTAAAAATATTCATTGCAACTTTTGGTTATGGTAATGTGTGAGTTTGAGTTTTAGCACCCACTAGCAGACAGAGAATGAGTCCTTGAATTAGCTTAAGGTATGGAGTAGGGCCTGAACCTTCAAAGGGGTCGTGCCCTCTATGAAAAGAATGGACTGGAAATTATCTGCTGATCACAACAAAATAACAAAAACATTTAACTATCTGAGTGGGAGCTAAGGAATCTCCAATGGGAATTCTAAAGTATGGATTCTTAACTGATGCTTAGGATTTAAAAACGCACACACACACATAAACCACCACCACTGATCTATGTGGTCTAGGGCTCCCAAGCTGAGAAATTAACTTAAAAATGAATTCCAGGGGCACCTGGGTGGCTCAGTTAGTTAAGTGTCCTGACTCTTGAGCTCAGCTCAGGCCTTGATCTCAGGGTTGTGAGTTCAAGCTCTGTGTTGCGCTCCATGCTGGGTGTGAAGCCTACTTAAAAAAAAATAAGAATAAAAATGAATCCTGGACTAATGATAACATGGGATTGTTAGCTATAAGCAGACCCCTGGGGATGTTCCAACAATTCAGGCCACAAGAGATTCTCATGGGAAAGCCACATCAATAAATGGAAAATGTCATCATCAAAATTTAAAACTCAAGAGCTGTGTTAAACAAAAGCCAGTAGTTTCAGGGGAAAAGAGAAGTGATAAACAGAAAAATAGATCTTGAGAAATCACCCAGAATGTAGCACAGAGAGATGGAAAATATGAAAGAGATGTAGAGATAATAGAGTTAAGATGAGAAGTCCCAATAGAAAGGATAGCATAGAGGCAATATTCAAAGATAGAATGGCTAAGAATCTTCTAGAATCGATAAAAGAAAATATTTAGATTGTGATAGCACCATGAGCCCAAATAGAATAAATAAAAATTAATTTATTTCTAGACCCATTGTAGTGAAAGTAGAGAATGCCAAAGAAAAAGAGAAACATCTTAAATGTCAACAAAAGAGAAGTGATGATGACATACAAAAGGATATCCATTTTGTTGACAGCCAACTTCTCAACAGCAGCAAGAGAGGGCAGACAACAGTGGAAGAATATCTTCACAGTTAAGTGAAAATAACTGTCAACTTAAAATTTTATACCCAGCTTAATACTCATTCAGGAATAAAGATGAAGATATTTTTTTCAGGCAAAGGCTAATAGAATTAACTAGTTACAGAGGCTTGCTGAAAGAATGTGAAGCAGGATGTAGTTGAGACTGAAGGAAATTGAACCTAGAAGGAAACAGGATACAGGAAATAATGCTGAGCAATGAAATTGGTTGCTAATGTGGATAAAATCTGGAACTTCTGCTTCTCATAGTGGCATATTAGGAAATTTGAATCATGCCTGCCATGAAGACTACCAGAAGAACTCAACAAATATTGAAAAAGTTTTCGCTTAAAGGCATCGAAGAACTTTTAGGATCTAGGGGGAGAATGGAGCTAGAATAAAAGGTCCTGGTGTGTACGGTTATCGTTCCTCTGGAGATATTGCCATTTCTGGAAGGATCTGCTGAACAGCTGTGCAGCCCTTTGGACAGGCCAGTGGGAATAAGGGGGCAGGGATTAAAATCCATCATGGCAGCGCCCGGCTGGCTGAGTTGGAAGAGCATGTGACTCTTGATCTCAGGCTTGTGAATTCGAGCCCCACATTGGGTTTAGAAACTACTTTTTAAAAATATAAATAAATAAAAAATTTTTAGCAAAAAATCAATCCGTGGCTCATGAAGAGAGGACACTTGATGAATATGCCTCAGTTTGGGTTGGGAACCTGTAGGGCTACACCACAGAAGCAAGAGTTAACCAGAAGTAGACATCCTGTCAAAGCTGCAGATCAGCTTGGAATCACATCTAACTTCTCTAAAATTAAATTGAGAGTTCCTAAATCGCTCATGCTCTCCAGCATCCAGCAGAATTATAGATCCTTCCTAGAAGAAGTTAATACCATACAAAGTCACAAATTATTTTTATAGCTTGCAAATGAAATGCCTGGTTATAATCAAAAGCAGTCAGATATACAAAGACATAAACCACTTGAAGAAAGAGAAACAAAAGGTGATAGAAATTGGGCCTCCATATATTGGAATTCTCAGATATAGACTTAAAATAACTACACTTGCCATGTTTGGCTCAGTTGGTTAAGCATCTGACTTTGGCTCAGGTCATGATCTCACAGTTTGTGGATTTGAGCCCCACGTAGGGCTCTGTGATGACAGCTCAGAGGCTGGAGCCTGCTTCAGATTCTGTGTCATCTCCTCCTCCTCCTCCTCCTCCTCCTCCTCCTCCTCCTCCTCCTCTTCCTCCTTCTTCTTCTCTCTCTCTCTCTCTCTCTCTCTCTCTCAAAAAGAAATAAAAACATTAAAAAAATAAAACAGAAATTCTGGTAATGAGATATTCAGCAACTGAAATTAACTCAAGTAGATGGGTTTAAACAGCAGATTAGACACATGTGAAGAGAGAATTAGTGCACTAAAAGATGTTAGACAAAAATAACCAGAAACAAAGGATGGAAGGAATGAAGAGAGATAGAAAATTCCCCAAGGAGGTCTAGTGAGTATATTTAAAGTTCCAGCAAGTCGGGAAAAAAAGGATGGGTCAGAAGCAGTATTTGAAGAGAAAATGGTTTAGAACTTTCTAAAACTGATGAACATTAATTCATAGTTTGCAGGAGTTACATGAACCTCAAGCAAGAGAAATACTAAAGAAGCTTACTCCTATAGATAATCTTTGTTAAACTGCCAGACAAAAACAGAAAAATCTTAAAAGCAGTTAGAGAAAAAAGAAAGATTATCTTTAACTAAGCAACAGTTAGCTGGTGGCTGTGTTCTCAACACAAATGATGGAAACCAGAAATCGGTTGAATACTACTTTTTAGAAGTTGAAAGAGAATAACTGTTAACTTAGAACTTTATATCCAGTAAATGGATAAATTGGCATGTAAATATACAATGAAGTACTACACAGTAATGAGAAATAGACTATGGCTATGCACAGTTGTGAATCTCACAAATAAATGTTGAGCAAAAAAAACCAGATGAGAAAGAATACATACTATATGATTCCATTTATATAAAGTTCAATGAAAATATAATGTTTAATGATGCATGCTTATGTGGTAAAGTATAAAGAAAAGCAAGAAGTAATTACCATAAAAAATCAAATTGGGGTTGCCTATGGGGAAAAATATGGGACGGATATTGAGGAAGGGCTGTGAGGACATGTTCCCAGGATGCTGGCACTGTTCTGTTTCTTGTTGTTATCTAGATGTTAGTTTTGTGACGGTTCCTTGAAAAATACATTTACATTTCGTGAACCTTCCCTCTCTGTACACCATACTTCATAATAAAAAGTTTAAAAGAGGTAAACTTAATGATCACTCACTGTATACAACAACAATAATAATCATCAATATGGGTGGTTTTTAAGGGTAGAACTAAAATATGGAACAAAACATGGGAAGTAGATTAAATATATATAAGATATTTGTATTATTTGGGAAGAGAATAGCACTATTAATGAACATAAATGTGTATGTGAGATTTGTGTATAACTTTCATGCTTTTCCAAAGCATGAGAAGGCGCTGGGAAAGGAATCAAGAAAACTCAAAAACTTCAGAAGGCCAAGACTCAAAG